TGACCTGCCCCTCACACCGTCTGTCAGGTACAACAAGTACAACAAGGGCTCTTCACTTCTCTGTGTGAATCTTATTCTCTCCTTCATGTGATGAGTTTTCAAACTTGTATTAAATCCCAGACTGAACCACATCTCTCAGTTCTGTCTGTGAGGCTCAGAAGACACAGAGTGGGTTCTCTGGTCTTCAGGGCACACAGGGTCATCAGCTGAGACCTGACAGCTAAAACGAAGTCAGACAGCTGCTTTCTCTCCCCCGATTTAAACTATACGACCTCTGACCCCTGAGGGCTGATTTTACCACACGACCACCAACTGCATATCACATTGAGCCGCCTGAGAACGCAGAACCTTCATCTGATGTTCAAACTGTCGTGTCCAACATTACTGCTTCCACTGCAATGATGATAAAATGAGTATCTTCTAATTCTATGTTTGCTTTTATCAAATCAACACTATCAACATTATCTGTCCTTGTTTGTTCCATCATTTAGTTTCTAGAACAGAGAATAAACCTTTAAAACATTTAGGTCAATAATACAAGTGTGCTGTTGTGTTGGGGGGGGGGCAGGCTGAGCCGTTTTATTGGTCTGTGTGTGTGTGTGTGTGTGTGTGTGTGTGGGTCACACACTGGAGAAAGAAAATTGAAACTTCCAAATTTAAAAAACACACAATGTAAAGTTAATATTACTGTAAATACAAGTTTAAGTTACACTGAATTAATTAGTGCTGTTACTAAAAGAATTAACTTTTTAAGTTGGTCCAACAATTTCCATTAAAAATGTGGTAAAAGAAACTTTTCAAACTGAAACTAAAGAATCTGTTGTTTCTCAGCTTTTCTTCATGAACCAGGGTTTAAACTTTATTTATGATTTTAACTGATCCTGATCAACGATCTCCGTTCAGACGATAAACCAGGAAACAAACATGATACAGAGTTTACAACACTACTCAATATAACGTAAGCACCAGTGTTTCTGATGGAGCAGCTGATGAAGCGTGTGAATCTGTAACATCAGTAAATCACAGTTGCACAACCGCTGAGGGATCGACTGTCGATGGAAACCTCAGGTCTCAGGTTTCACCTGATAATCAAACTAATCCACTGTAAACACCGATGTGGTTTCAAAGCGGCACTCAGCCAGAAACCTACAAACATCTCAACTGCATCAGAAAAACCCTGAGAGCACATCGTGTGATTTTAAAGTGAATCTGTCAAACTGCTCCTGTTGCCACCTGCCCAGCGTTTCAGCCTCCCGCAGCTGTTAAAAATAACCCCCCCAGAAATGCTGGCAGGGCAGAAAAGTCTCCTACTGTGTTCTTGCAAAAGCAGGATCGAGTGCTCAGCTGTAACCCTGAACCTCCAGCAGCCAGCAGGCCCTTATATGAAGACTGAGTCGGGCCACAGAAAGAAAACTGAACATTGTTTTTTACTGGAGAATTAAGATGCATCTGGATCTGGATCTGCTCCAGGACCAGGATCTAAAGGACCAGGATCTAAAGGACCAGGATCTAAAGGACCAGGATGTAAAGGACCAGGATCTAAAGGACCAGGCCGGTTCTAAAGGACCAGGACGAGGCCTGGACTCATCGTGACTTTAACAGAATGTCAACAGATCTTGAGTTTCAGGAAGTGCAGGTGCAGGAACCTAAGGTGAGTTGGGACTTACTCTGTCGCTCGGTTCCAGCTTCGTACCCCCCAGCAGCCACTCGACAGCGATGCCTTCGTAGGACAGCTCGCACTCGAAGGTGGCGGTCTCTCCTGCAGTCACGGTGACATCATTCAGAGGCTTCGCCAGGCTGATCACTCGGGCTTTGGATTGGGGAGAAGACATGGTTAGCCCCCCCCCTGAAACAGGTCAATAATCCAAGAAGTCCTCAGAGAGAAACGGTTAATCCTCAGTGGTTAATCCTCATGGTGGGACTGAGCTGCAGGCAGGTCGCTGGACCCCCTCTGGACAACTGAACACAGCTGCCCTGCGACTTGGCACTGGGGGGCAGGCTCATTAGCATACAACCTGCCATCAGATGCATATGTTTGGCAGAGACCATTCAGAGACGGGGTTCTGCCCGGCCTCTGCCAATCACTGCAAACCTGCTCTACATAAGGCATGTGGCTTCTAAAATAACCGAGAGGCCTGATTGGCTGAGAGCCCACCTCTGCCAAACCCATCAGCGGGAGTCAATCTGCTCCTGTCAATCATCAGCCTGCAATTTTCCCGGAAAAGGAGAATGTGGAGCTGGACGGGAGTTACCCAACGTCAGGCGGCAGGACAACACGCTGTCGTAACGCACACGAGGGAGTTTGGTAACAGGAAGTGAGTCTGCATTAACAACCTCCACCAACTATTTACAACAGGCTTCTTCACATGCCTGAGGTCGCCCCCGTCACAGGACCAGCCCCAGACCTCCTGTCAGCCAAGACCCTAAAGATCTGGATTAACTGTTAAACTCCTGTTTTTTAAAAAACATTCTTTCTTCTATATACAGAAAATAAACTCTGACAATTTCAGATCAAATGATTAAACTTCAGATTAAATTACATTTTAAAATCCAGCTCACACTGATGAAACCTTTGAATTTAAATATAAGTTAGTTGTTGATTTATTTACAGAAACTGAGACTTCTTTAAATGAATGAATGACTCGTACAGATCTAGTTTCATGTTCAACATGTAAATTCCATCATGAAACTTCCACGTTCATTAAATGCCAGCGTTCAGGTAAATGCTCATCAGGATTCTAACTGAAGCCGAACAAGGACCTGACCTCCATCGTACCCGTGTGACTCTTCTCTCACCTTTGACCCTGAGCTGAGCTGAGGATTTGGCGTTTGCTGCTGCGAAGTCGACGCTTCCCGCCATGTCCTTCCTGCAGTTGAAGAGGATCAAGATGTGTCGAGTTCCCTCCTCCTTGATGTCCACGTCCTGCAGACAAACATCATTAAAGACCAGGAGACGACTCCACACATCAGAACATCCTGAATTCAGATGAACGAGTGGGTTAGTCTTTGTGGGGTCGCAGGGTGCGATCTTACGGCGGATGGGTGGAGTGTCTCTTCTTTCAGTTTCCAGGTGGCGTGAAGGTCCTCCTCAGAAATCTCTGTCTCAAACTTGGCCGTCTCTGTCTCTGTAACCTCGACACTGTACAGCGGGCGGACCACCTTGATGTCGCGCTCTGCAGGCAGAGGCGTGAGCAGACGTTAGAGAGCAAATCAGGACGCCAGGGACGCCAGGTCAACACGGGTCATTGACAGGTTGATCGAGCAGCTGACGCTCACAGTCAGAGCGACTTACAGTTTTAGCAAAAGCAGAACAGATTGAGTGAAATCCAGACCATAATCCAACCTGTGCGTCTGTCTCCATGACGACAACACGTCTTTTAACGTAATTCAGTTTAATCTGAAACTTTATCATCAGTGTGATTTTTGTAATTACTTTAATAAAGTAAAGAAACTAAAAATTTCCGAGTTTGTGACAATTTTATGATGAAATTAGAATCAAATATTAAATGTTCATCATAATCGACTTAACGTTTCAATAATAACATTCATAAAACTGCTCCGTGCAAATGTTTTAATCTGAAAGTTTGGAAAAATACAGAAGTTTTAATCTTTTTTATTTTATTGCATCTGATTGTTTTTCATTATTTTTCAATTTGGATTTAAATTTTCATCATTAAAGTTGAAATAAATTGAGAGAAAACTCACCGACAACGTTTAACTTTTCATTATGGTTTTTAAAATTTGTTTTATTTTGAAAAATCTATTTGTGGGAAATTGTTAGAAAATTCCAAAGGTAAAAAAAAATCTAATAAAAAGGTGTCTGTGGATATTATAACATGTCGAGGTCACACACAGAAGTAATGGTCACACGTGTGGGTTGGATTATCGTCAGGCGTCGTCAACGTAACAGAAACGTGACACAGAAATGAAGAACGTCGGCCCGAGAGAGAGGCGGGGCTTCGGTCAATGACGGTGGGTGGGGCCGTATTCTGTGGTCCTGACCAGGTACTGTGGGGGAGGGGCCAGGCGACCGCAGGTATTACCTTCGATGTTCAGGTCGGCCGTGGTCTTGTCCGTGCCACAGTCGCAGGTGTACGTTCCCATGTTGCTCTTTAGCGCCTTCTTGAGGACCATTATGCGCTTCTTGCCATCTGATTGGAGGAGAACGTTCTTGGAGGGACAGATTTCGGTTCCGTCTTTGAACCATCTGACCTCGCCGCCGGCTTTGCTCAGCTCACAGGACAAAACCACCTCGTCCTTCTCGACGGCGGTGTAGTTCTGGAGCTTGGCTGTGAAGTACAAGTCGCCCTCTGCAGGACAACACCAGTAACAACCAGACACAAGCAGCAGTTAAAACAAGCAAACAGACGCAGCTATGGAAAAATAAAACAATGTTTGTCAGTTACAGCTTTTATCCAGAAGGGGGCAGACTTCTCCTTTAAAGCCATAGTTTAAAGGCAGTTTGGACGTTTCTCTGATTTCAGGACAAACACCTGATGATGACTTCATGAATAAAATCAAAGTCGTGACTCTTCATCCTCCAGAAAAACCATACTAACCGAGCACAGTGAGCATGGCCTCCGATGTCTTGGCCATGGCCTCCACTTTGATCATGGACGTGTCATCAGTGGTGACCTCCTTGAAGGCCAGCGTGTGAACTTTCCCGTCCTCGGACATGTGCACCACTTTGCTCGGGTGCAGCCGGATGTCGTTTTTGTACCAAACTACCGGGATTTTTTCATGAGACAGTTCAACGCTGAACTCTGCGGTTTCTCGCTCCTTCACAGTCACATCTTTAATTGGTTTGATAAATTCAAGGCGAATACCTGACAAACAGAAATTCACTTTATATATTTATATGCATATGTGCAATCAAAGGATGAGATCACAGAGGCGATGATGAAGTGCTGACAACTCAATACAAAGTTGCTGCAGTGTTCATCACAGCCCCAACATGAAGGACATAGAGCATAGCAGTGCAAAGATTGTCCAGAGGGTGGTGCTGGAGTAAGGTGAGGTTGTAACAACAGCATCAGGTGTGAAGAAGCAGAAACATCGTCGAGCAGCTGCAGTGAAACTCATTTATTTACCTTTAATTAACAACTTCCCAGATGTTGTCTTATCTTCGGCCTCAAACATGTATCTGCCTTCGTCCTCGTACTTGGCAGATTTCACAATAAGAGCGTGTCTTTTTCCCTCCAACACCAGCTTAAACTTGTCATCGTTTGACAACTCCTGACTTCCCTTCAGCCAACGGAAGCTTTTAGGTTCTCTGGAAATTTCCAGTTCAAACTTTGCCTCGTCCTTTTCATATACATGCAGGTCAGTGAGCGGCGTAATGAAAGAGATGGGGAGTTCTGTTGATTCAGACACACACAGTTAAAATCAGGCTGTAGATCCACTTCCAATGAAACTATTCACATCTTGTTTATTTGACAAGTGGAACCCTCAAAGGAAGAAATCAAGAACATTTAGGAAGGAAAAGCAGGAAGAATGAGCTCGCTGCTTTGTTTGGAATCTGGTTTAAGATTCTTCCTTTAAGGAAGCGAACGCTCACCCTTGACTTTCAGGTTAGCAGAACACTTGGCATTGGCGGCCGTGAACGACACCTCGCCTGTCAGAGGCACTTTGCAGTTGTACAACACCAGAGTGTGTTTGGCTCCGTCCTCCACAATCTCAACGTCCTGCAGACGACCAACACATCTCAACATCTCAACAAGAACGAGTCAAAGAGAAGTGAAGAGATCAGGAAGTGGTTGATTCATTTTCATCTGATAACTGATGACAGATTAACGTCTCAGCCTCGACAGCTGATACGTGAACCTGGCACTGAATCAGAGTGAAAGTGAAAGGAACCACGTGTGAGACAAATATAAATGAGACGTACGGCCGAAGGACTGAGGACCTCTCCGTTCAGTTTCCACTGACCGTGGACGTCATCCTCGCTCAGCTCCACCTCAAATCGAGCAGTTTCTCCATCAAACACTTCAGCTCCATACATCGGTCGAACCACTTTGATGGAGCGAGCTGATGTTCAAGAGAGGGAACATTCAGATATTCAACAATTAACATGAAGACATACTCAGACAACATAAAGAACACAAGTACACACAGAGACGAAGAGACGCTGAGATATAATCTGATTATATATATATATAATATAATGTCTCTCTGATTCCATAGAGAAACTTCCTGTTTAGTTTTTATTTGTGCAGAAGGTCAAAGGTTCATTCATCTGCAAAAATAAACTTCGGAGACATTTGGTTCAATATCAGCTGATCAGATTCTTTAGAGTTGATTTTCCATCAAATTATCAGTAACAGTGATAAGATCGGATTTAGAATGAATGAGTCCATTTTCCTCTGGTCAATAAACCAACACCCACTAACATCTGGCTTTAGTCTGAGATGTGAATGGACTCAAGTGACAGCTGATCGAGCACAATGTGCAGTTTTTGGTTCTTTTGTGACGTTGAACATGACGGATATGACTGAGTGTCACTGTTCCTCAAGAGCTCCTGAAGAACAAGAGGGTGTTGTAGAGAAAGTGTCGCTCGCTAAAGTTTCTTCATGAAAACTTAAAGTGACAAACTGATAAAAAACAGAACAACGAAAAACAAGTTATGGTGGAAAAACACTGAAGATTCTTGTGGTGAGTTTCTACCATCTTCAGAGGTGGAGGGATAAGAGGACACACAGGTGAAGACAGATAAAGACAAGTGAAGACAGACATTGACAAGTGAAGACACATGTAGACAAGTGAAGACAGACATTGACAAGTGAAGACAGATGTAGACAAGTGAAGACA